TCAAAGCATGAGTGTTTTATTATACTGCACTTCTTTTGTCACAGAAATCTATTTCCCTGAAAAAGAAAACAAAAACCATTTGCTCTTATGGGAAACTGACCAATTTCAATCAGCTCCAAGACAGTGACAGTGACTAGTGAGGCAGTAACAGAAATAAAATGTGCATAAAGCATTTAAGAAGTCAAATTAACTTGATTTAACTTGACATTCTCAGTCATTTACGAAAGTGTTCATCCCAAATATGCTAGTAAATGTGACTAGCAAAGAGACCTATTTCTATCAACTCAAGTGTTACAGTTGGATACAACTTTTACTATAAAGCATGTAAACTGGATAAAGTTTACAAAGGAATCACCTTCCACCTACAGGGGAATTTAGCTTTAAAAGTACAGAATGAATGTTTAATAAATACCCCATGGTGATACAAACGAGCTTTTCCATTACTGCCAATATATAGCTGGTGACACCTCCTGGGTGAGAAAAGATCATGGAAAGAAGTGATTATAAATAGTTGCTTCCTTCTTACAACAACTAATTCAAGGGCTTGTGTACAAAAGCAAAAATCTTAGTTCCTAAAGAACAGATTATTTCACCTTAAGTAAAATCTGTTTGTTACAGGTGATTACTGACAACAATAATTGCTTCTTCAGACAAAAAGAAAATCTTTTTGTAAGATATCTCTATAGCAAGAGACCTCTAAATATCAACAACTATATGATTTTTAAGTCAAAGCTTTTGTAAATGAGTTGTTTCTCAGGAAAAAAAAATAATGGTAAGAAAACAGTATAATACATCCAATAATTAAGGCAAAAGAAGTTAAAATAAACATTAACATGAAAAAATGTCAACTATTAAAGCAAGTTTTAACGAAATACTTTTACTCATATTTAAAAGAGGGAGGAGGCAGGTTAGAAACTAAACTGAGGTCAGAAAGGAAATTTATTATAAAAACAAATGAAAAGACCATCTGAAAATGAAAACGTATTTTTCAAATCAGTAATGTGGCATTCTAATCCATCTGCTCTCTTTTTCTGAGCCACAAGCTAATTTTTCTGATAAAAAGATTTTTTTTTTTTTTTTTTTGAGATGGAGTTTCGCTCTTGTTACCCAGGCTGGAGTGCAATGGCGTGATCTCGACTCACCGCAACCTCCGCCTCCTGGGTTCAGGCAATTCTCCTGACTCAGCCTCCCGAGTAGGTGGGACTACAGGCACGCACCACCGTGCCCAGCCAATTTTTTGTATTTTTAGTAGAGACAGGGTTTCGCCATGTTGACCAGGATGGTCTCGATCTCTTGACCTTGTGATCCACCCGCCTCGGCCTCCCACAGTGCTGGGACTATAGGCGTGAGCCACCTCGTCCGGCCCTAATAAAAAGATTTAGACTGTCCTTACTCATTACACATTTTTATTTCCATATAAGCTAGCAGTTTTAACCCCTCCTCCACCTAAAAAACTGAAAACTCAAAATCTGCTTTTAAGAAACTAATTCTCCATTTTCTCCTAATTCAGGATTATTAAGTCTATTAGACTGTACTCTTCACCTTCTCAATTCTAAATTATAAAACTTTATTAAAACAATTTCCATTCAACTGTTGTTTCAGTTTCATGACCAAAAAGATTGGTTTCTTAAAAACTATGCATATTAATTGCTCTCAGGGTTCAGTGGAAAACTTCTCTCTAAAGGTAGAGCAGTTTAAGACGTAGGTTTTATCTGTAATCCTGTAACCATCTCTATCTTCAATAAAAGGTTTCAAACTCAAGTTTATATCCTTTATATGATGGGCCCACCCTAGAATGTATTCACAGCTTTAAAAAACAGCCATGTTGAAGATACCTGAGTGAAAGAGCTGGTACACAACACACACCTCCACACCCCGCCACAACCAAAAAACAAAACAAAAACAAGCAGTAAAACGAAAGGACTGTCCACAGTCAAGATACAGGCTAAAGGTTAATTTGGCAAGGAATTAAAATACTCATTCTAAAACATTCAAGTCTTCATCAAGTAGGAAAACCAACACTTAATCCACAAATTTGTAACTTGCCAAATGGAAATTCGTAAGGTGACAAACCAATTTTTTAAAAGCTTATTCTTTGAAAAATATTTTAAAATAAAAAATTTAAAAGTCCCATTTGAAATTCCTAATTATCAGAAAATACATCTACTCTTAAGTATAATTTGTTAACTTCATTAAGCCAATCACTAAAGTAAAATTTTTACTAAATTTTAACTAAACTTAATTTTTCAGCCAAGTATTACAGGCAAGAAACAAAACAAAAAGTAATGCCTAACCAGAAACAGAAGTCATGATTAATTTGTTTTGGACAGTGACAAACCACAAAGGGGTAAAGCACAAGTTGCCGAATTTCACAACCAAATCATCCAGAAAAAAAAATGTGATGGACTTCAGAAACCAATATTTTTCCTAAGTCAAATTAAGTTTATAATAAGGCTAACAATTACAGGAAACAGCTTATTCCACACTAAGGAATAGCCCTTTTTCCTGCATGTTTGTACTGGTCTGATAAAAAACAGTCAAACTTCCTTGTCATTATATTGCCCATTTTAAACATACTATCTGCCATACAGAAGCAATCTTTACACTGGGAGTTGACAAGGCTAAAACTAGAGTAAGATGAGAAATGGAATAAGCCACATTACAAGGGGAAGGGGAAACAAATATAAGGAGATTTCCTCTCGGTCTCCTACATTTTAAAGTCAAACGATTACTATTTCCAACCAGAGAGAAATACACCTTGGTTAAAAATAGGGACGTAATTCAAATTTCTGGATTTGAAAAATTAAAAATTATTAAAGCAAAAAGTTAGAAACTTGGTAACAAGGAACCAGCTCTAAATTATGAAGAGAGTTTAGATCAACATAAAAGCACAAGTGAGACGCCCTTTTAAACTAAAGAAACTCCAAAGTATGCAGCTTTTTAAATAGTATACTAAGGTGAAGTATTTTCACTTTTTTTTGAATCTCCTATAGTCTCTGAATTCAACATTTCAAGAATGCAATTTAATTTTAACTAACCCTAAACATTGTCAAGGTCTATTTTCATTTTACCGTCGAAAAAGGATTCCTGCTAAACAACTGCACTCAAGAAAAAAACTTTTACCAGAAATTGTTACTAGCACTATTAAAACTTAACCAAAATATGCGAAAGAGAAAATGTTATTTTTGAAACGTCATAAACTTGTGCCAATAATTGTGTTTTCAATGTTCGAGAACACTATAGGAACACGTGATGACAAATCAAATAATCCATACTTAATTTAATATAGGTCAGATTACTGTGTATGTTTCACATTTCGTTCTGACCATTTTCATGGTTAAAAAATAACTGGCGCCCCTTAGCGCTCACATTCGGAAATACGCAATTTAAGAGTTACAGCAATTTTTTTTTTTTTTTTTTTTTTTGACATTCCAGAAAGTTTTCTGCCTCCACAATCTTTCAAATGCCAACACAAATAGGAAAAGCAGAACCCCTTAAAGGGACAGCTGAAGTTTTCTCTGGAGCAACCTGAAATTAGCAGATCTGTTGTTCCAACAGTGGAAAATGCCCATTTCAATGTGGGTGAGTGCTGTACGTTTAACACACGGAAGCACAACGACCAGAAAGCCTAACACCTAACCATTTCCTACTTTTGTTTCTACGACTTTCAATACAACAAAACTCCTGGGATTTTTCTTTAACCATCTTTTTATCATGTAAACATTTCCGGCCTTTTGTTCTTTGGTGACATTCCAACTCCCCAAGCTTCAAACTCCTTTTCCCCGACTACTTTTAAAATCTCGAAATTCTTGCGAAAAACCTAAACTCCACTATTTCTTCAACCTACAGTTTTTGGTTTCCATTTTACAGTCCTCCAGTAATGCCTCTAAGCAGAAAAAGAAAAAAATCCTGGCTAGTCGATTTTCGAAACAGACATTTTTGTGTGTGGTCATTTTTTTTTTTTCTCTAGGTGTCCGCAGAAACCCACAGCTACTAAAAATTAATACTCCAGGTCCTGCTATGAGAACTTCTTAAGGAAATTCCAGAGTTGGTCAACATTAATCTTCTTGTCATTCTTCGCTCCCCACAGAGCTCCATAAAGCTATTTGGAAACTTTGGCTCAATTTTATTTCGCCCTTTCCCAGCGTCTCGATTCCCTGTCCTGAAAACTCAGGCGGCTGCGTCCCCGAGAGCAAACCCTCCGCCCAAGTTCTTCCTAACTCAGGCAGCGCTCCGATCTGTCATCGCGGTATTTCGCTCTCCACCCCCCCCCACCCCCGAAAAGTGAAGTTCAACTCCCTAACAGTTCTCGCTTCCCCAAACAAAAGGAAAAAAAGCGCTTTTCGCCGTCACTTCGTCCTCCCTGTCGGCTACGCCAGCATTACTTTCGGTCTCCTACCGAATTTTCTTGAACGAGCCCCACGCTGACTTCCACTTACTATTTACCAGCTGCACCAATTCCCCAAGCACGAAACCCCGCTTTGGTCCTCACCCGGAGGGAGAGCTCCCGAACTCGGGGCAGCGGGGGTCCGCACCGGGCTGGTTCGGGAGACCGAGCGGAGGAGCGGGGCCCGCGCCGGGGACACGCGCGTCCTCCAGGCCGGCGGCGCGGCGTGGGCCTGCTCTCGAGAGGGCTCGGCGAGGACCACCGAGCCCGCGCGGCCCCCGCCGGCCTCTCGGAAATGTGACCGCCAAAGCTAGAGGGGCCGCAGCGTCCGCCCCGCAGCCCTCCGCACGGCACAAACTTGGGCGCCAGCAGCACTGGGTCCCGGCCGGGCGGGGGCCGTCCGGCCCCGGCGGGTCCACCCCGGCCCGCCCGCCCGCTCGCCCGCTCGCCGCCGCCAGCCGGGCCCCGCGCCTTCTTTGTGCGTCCTCCCGGCCTCCCCGTCCCCCCGGCGCGCGGTCCCGCCCGGCCGTGACCTACCCGCCCTCCCCACCATCCGGAGCGGGGAAAGGGGCTGCCCCGGCGGGGTTGGGGCCGGGGCCCGTGAGGCGCTCACCTTCGTCCAGCAGCCGCTCGAGGTGGTTGAAGATCCCGCAGAAGTTGGGCAGGCTGCTCATGAGCTTCTTGTCGTTCATCAGCTGCATCAGGTAATCTGGGGTGGGCTTCGGCTTCTCCTTCGTTTCCATTTCCCCGACCATATTCCAGGCTCCGCAGCTCACTCCGCCCGCCGCCGCCGCCGCCGCCGCCGGAGAGGAGGGAGGGGCGGGGGCGAGCCCCGGCCGCCGGCCGCTCGGGACCCGGCGTCCCGCTCCGCGCCGGCTCCCGCTCCGGCTCCCGCGCCGAGCCCCGGGGCGGCCGGCACCGCGCGCTCGCCCGCCCCCCGCAGGCACTTTCCGCCCGGGGCCGACGCGCTCCCGGCCGCCGCCGCTCTCGGCCGCCCGACTCGGCGCGTCCCTCACGAGGCCGGCGGGAGGCGGGTCTCGGCTGGCCGAGTACGGGCGCGGGGCGCGGGCCGCTGGCGCCGGACGAGGAGGAGCCGGGGCCGCCGCTAGCTCGGCTGGTCGCGCCCGCTGAGCACCGCCGCCGCCTGTGCCGCGGGCTCGGGGGTCTCTCTGGGCTGGTGCCCGCCGCGGCGCCTCTGCCGCTGCCGCTGCCGCCGCGCTCTGACTGCGCTCCTCCTCTTCCTCCTCCTCCTTCTCCTCCTCCTCCTCCTCACTCACTTGGCGGCGGAGTTCGCCTCAGTTCAGGCGGCGCTGCCAGCGGCGGCGGCGGCGGCGGCGGCGGCGGCAGGGGGGGAGGGGCGGCGGCGGGGGGAGGGCCGGGGGCGGGAGGCGGGCGGGGCCGCGCAGGGCGGCCGTTAGCGGGGCCGGGCCGGCGCGCTCCTGCAGCCCGCTGCCCGCCGCCCCCCACCCTGGCAGCCACTGGCGCCTGGCTACCTCCTCCCTGCCTCCCCGGCGGGGCGGGCGGCGGGAGCGTGACGGTCGGCGGCGCTGGGCGGGCCCGGGCCTGGGAGCAGAGGATGGGGTCGCTGCCGTGCCGGGCGCCCGGGGTGCGTGGGTGTGGGTTGCAAGGCTGTCGGCCACAGGGTGCGGGGTACGCGGGGCTTTCCACGGCAGGGGGCGGGCGGGGCCGCGGGCGCGGTCGTGGCCCCAGCGGCGGGCGAGAGGAATCCCAGCGGGACGCGCCAACGGTGCCTCCGCCTCGCTCCTCGTTACTATAGTTCTTTCAAAACCTCTCATCCACCCCGCAGAAGAGAAATTTTTTTAACGTCCTGTTGCTTCACGGGGGACTTTCGGGGTGGGCGTCACGTGGCCCGACACGTAGCTGTGGGGCTCCAGAGCGCGTGCGCGCGTCGAGGCTGGTGGCCACGCCCATCCTGAGGGTCGCTCCGCCCCCGCCGGGCCCCGCCAGCGCGCGGTGGGGGAGGCGCGTGGCCCGGAGTGCGCCTGCGTGGGGCGGGGGCGGGGGCGGGGCTGGGGGCGGCAGCCGCCTAGGGTCTGAGTCTGGCGGTTTTGACCGGGGCCCAGGCGCGTCGCCCACCGTGCGGAGGGCTGGTCGGCCTGCACTGGCAGTCCGGCCTGACGCGGCGCGGGTCTCGGCTGCGGGGGGCGGGGGGTGCGGAGGACAGGAGTTTGAGGCTTTCTGAGGCGCGCGCCCCGGCGTCCGCCTCTGCGGGACTCTGCGCGGGGCGCCCTCGGTCGGCGCGCCGGGCTCCGGCTTCGTCGCCGAGGGAACCACGCGCGACGCCCCTCTCGTCGCCGCCGTGGCTCCCTTCGGTATTCGTGATTTGTTGGGAGGCTGGAAAGCAGCACGGCGGAAAGGAGCCTAGCGCTCCCCAGGCGGGAAGCCTGCGCGGACACGCGTGCGCACCACCGGGGCGGCGGGCGTGGGGGGCCCGGGCCGCGCGGGTGACGCGTCTCCGGGGAACCGGTCTGTGGCGCCTTCCCGTTATTCTGAAAGCGAATTGTAGCGAGACCCGAGCGCGGCGGCTTAGCAAACAATAAGGGAGCGTCAGCGGTGCTCGAAATGTTTCCTCCTCGATGGCATCAGTGTTCGTGAGGGAATGAAGCCGCAGTAGGAGATAAAGCGCCTTGGCGTAGTCTGAGAAGCAGAAGTCAACATTTTCACAGATGAAGAAAGAACTCAGAAGAGGTCTTTCTGTGCAATGTGGTGGATTTCCAGCACTTAGATTTATTTGAAGAATTTCCTGAACTGCAACGATGAAGTCCTCTTTGATCTGTAGAAGTCGGCAGTTCCTAAATCTGCATCTGCCTTTTGTTGCAAATGCTTTATGACATTCCGTTAATAATGCAGAATTATGTCATATCCAGGTGTCCATTGTGAGAGTCATTCGCGGCTGAGATTTTCTGTTAATCATTCTGTGTTCTGACTTAGCAGTGAACGTAGCTGATTCTGTTTGTGAAACGTTGCTTTCACGCAGGTTCTGAGGAGCACCTCTGAGTTTGAGTTGTACCGAAGGTACTAAAAGAATTTCGAACGAGCGCTGAGTGCCCACTAGCTTCTGGCCTTTTCATTTAACAAGCACAGAGTTCATTTTTAAAATTAAGTTACTTTGACGGAGGAAATGTAATAGCCTTGTCAGACAACGTTAAAAATGTTTACCTCTCAGATACTTTAAATTCTCCAACAGCCTTAGCTGTTTTTAGAGCCACAGAGTATTTACTTACTGAGTTGCCTTTTTCAAGATGAACCTTCTAAATGCAAGTCGTAGTAACTTGATGAAGAGCTATGGTCTCTAAGTAAGGAATGCTGCTGCAGTTAGAAAAATAAATCGTTGTAAAAGGTTTTGATGCTGATGGTGTGAAAGAGGCAATTCCCTTCTTAACGGCCCGCTCATTACGCTTTCAGGCACTGTACTGAATGCTCTTGCTATATATATTTCGTTTAATCATCAGTACAGCTTGGTCTTAGGATAGATACTGTTTTCCCCATTTTACAAATAAGGGGAAAGCCAAGGAAGACGAAGTCAAGTCACTTGTGTAAGAATGCAGTTAATGACTCCTGTGTCTGGGGTTAAAATTCAATAATATTCTAAAGCTTATGTTTTTTTGCTTTTTTTCCTCACCCTATCCAGTAAATCAGACTGAATTTTATGACAGTATTCCACCGTTTTTGTCCAATAGAAACTGCACTTTCATTAGGCTCAATCACTTAAACCAGATTAAAGAACAATGATAGGCAATTTTCGTTTCCTATGTATTAAATCTCTTATGGTTACTGCATTTTATAATAGATACTGTGTGTTACCTTTTCAAATATCTCTTTAAAAAAAAAAAAGCCGGCCGGGTGGCTCACGCCTGAATCCCAGAACTCTGGGAGGCCGAGATGGGTGGATCACAAAGTCAGGAGTTCAAGACCAGTCTGGCTATCATGGTGAAACCCCGTGTCTACTAAAAATACAAAAAGCCGGGTGTGGTGGTGTGTGCCTGTAATCCCAGTTACTCGGGAGGCCGAGGCAGGAGAATCACGGGAACCTGGGAGGCAGAGTTTGCAGTGAGGCGAGATCGCACCATTGCACTCCAGCTTGGGCAGCAGTGCGAGACTTTGTCTCAAAAAAAAAAAAAATCCGAATAGCTTACCAAGGCCTTCAAAAAGACACCTTGGCCCCTGGTGCATCACTGTCCTTAGATCTTCCTCTCCTACCACAGCCCACTTGGCTGCCCCACCCCCTAATCTGTCCGGATCCTTAAACATTCCAAGCATGCTTACCCTCCCCATACCTCAGCGAGCCTGGCTTCTACACTTTCTCTTTAGAAGGTGACACTTAACACCCTGTGTAAGATGGCGCATGTGTGCACGCACACACCTCCTCCCTTATTCGGTCTGCTTACCCCAGGTTCGTTTCCAAGCATTTGTTTCCTTCCACCTGACATATCTGTGGGTCAACTTGTTTGCCACTGGCAGCAACACTGTAAGCTCCATGACAAAAAGGAGTTTCTTCTGTTAGGAATTCCCAACACCTATATCAGCACGTGGTACATGTAGGCACTTACTAAATATGTGTCCAAAAGAAGTATTAAGTACTTGTTATGGACCAGAAACTCTGCAAAATCCTTATCTTTGCATTGTTTTTTTCATCTTTACAGTCAATATTTGAGGTAGGCAAGAAGAGCCGTATTTCCGAGATGAGAGAGCTGATGTTTAGGAGAAGTAGCTGCAGAGGGTTGGGTGCGGTGGCTTGTGCCAGTAATCCTAGCATTTTGGGAGGCTAAGGCAATTGGATTACTTGAGCCCAGGATTTTGAAACCAGTCTAGGCAACATAGCAAGACCCTGTCTCTACAGAAAATACAAAACAGCAGAGTCTGGTGCCACGTTCCTGTGGACCCAGCTACTTGGGAGGCAGAGGTTGCAGTGAGCTGTGATCACATCACTACATTCCAGCCTGGGCAACAGAGCAAGACCTGACTCAAAAACAAAAAAAGACTGACTTTGTAATAATGTAATTATTACAAAAATGTTATCTTAATATGGTATTCAACATAAATTACAATGTGCATGCAATATATATCCAGAGTGAGCCTCCAGTTAAAGATCCCTATAATAGGTTTTTCCACTGTGAAAAATTGTCATCTAGTATGTTGACACTAAAAATGTTTCCACATTCTAACATCAGTAACCAGGAGTGGAAACATATTTTCTGTTCTCTTAAATTTGATTGACTCTTTGCTTATTGCTATTCTTGAAATTTAAAATAGAAATTTGCAGTATTCCAAACCTTTATCCCCATAGAGTTCTTGCAAAAACTAAAATATTCCTTGGATATAAAATTCAGTGTTTTAAGGCCGGGCGCGGTGGCTCACGCCTATAATCCCAGCACTTTGGGATGCCAAGGTGGGTGGATCACGAGGTCAAGAGATCGAGACCATCCTGGTCAACAAGGTGAAACCCTGTCTCTACTAATAATACAAAAATTAGCTGGGCATGGTGGTGCACGCCTGTAGTCCCAGCTACTCAGGAGGCTGAGGCAGGAGAATTGCTTGAACCCAGAAGGCGGAGGTTGCAGTGAGCCAAGATCGTGCCATTGCACTCCAGTCTGGGTAACAACAGTGAAACTCCATCTCAAAAAAAAAAAAAAAAAAAGATTCAGTGTTTTATGGCTTTTTGTCCCACTGCTGTTTTTAAAAATCTTAATCCTTAGATTTTCCTAAAAGAGACTGGAGCATTCTTTGTAAAGTAATTGTTTATTGTCTTAATAGATTTGAGTATCCTTTTAAATTTTGAGATGGCTTATCAGGTACTTGTTAAAAGATTGAAAATGAAACATTTCAAGTGTGAATATCTTAAATATTTCCAGTACCTGTTATATGTAAATGCGTATCATTAACCTTAAGGCACTTATGGGCTGAGCTGGGAGTTAATAGCATGTGCAGGTACATTTTAAAAGTTAACTAATAACTGCCAAGTAAAGGCTAAAGACAGAAATGCTTTAAAATACCTGTGAGTAATACTGGTAAAAATACCAGTGAGCACCAACATTCCCTTTCTGGAAGCCGTAGCAAGACTGCACTGGGGAGGTGGGTTTGATCGTGAGGCAGAGCAGAGAGTGCTGGGAGACAGCAGTGACTTTTGTCTTGGGAAGTGGAAAAGTACCAAGTTTAGGGTAGGAGTTTCCACAGAGTATTTGATGCCAGATTTTGGTTGGCCTCAAACATCAAACTAGAGTGTTAGTAAGGGAAAAGCCTTGGGATTTGGGTGTATGTTGGGGTGGGGAGTGGGGTA